ATTTGGAATATTTATTTCCATGTGATTTATTATAATATAATTTATATAATCACAAAATAAAGTTTGTTCATATCTCTGTCAACTATATTTTTAAATAATCTCTCTCTAATAATAGAAAGCCCTTTTATATATGTTTTTAAGTGTAAACATAAATCTATATATCTAAATATAAATTTTTATATGATCGAGTCAAATATATGTACTTCTTTACATAACATAAAATAATATAAAATTTAAAATTATTGCATAGATAATCAATCATAGCTTGATTATCTATTTGCAATAAAAAATTATTAATCTAGACAATATCTTAATTATTTGATAATATATCTTTTGTTTCATATAATATTTAACAAGTTCATGTGTTAGTAGTTTTTTTCTATTACGTAATAATTATTAGTTACGAAGTTTTGAAATACTTTCAGGATTCAAAAAGAAAGATTATGTGCAATGCTTCACAGGTTCAAATATACCACACATTATAATAAATCTGCTATATACTGAAATGTTTTAAAGCTCATGCTGCTTTTCAGTACCGCATTTTGCACATAGTTTTGAATATTCATAATTATGTAAATGGTAAGCTAATAATATAGCTTATACTCTCACTCAAAAAGTTCAATTAAATCATGTAACAAAATTTTATTTTTCTATATAACAAGACTAAATAAAGTTGACGCACACGAGCAACTGGAATTTACCGTGCTCATAAATCTATCTTTCATGCTGGAAAGGTCTGTTATCTATTGTAGCAGCTATAGTGGGTGGCAACATAAATTTTTGGGCTCCACCACTTCAGCCGCAGTAAACAATTGGCGGCTGTTCGACGTTCTGTTGTATATTTTCCATTTGCGCTTGGTAAAACATGCCCATCGGCATGCAATCTTGGGCATGTAGCACTCGTGCGTAGTTTTCATATGGTTCTCATTTTGTCCGGCCTTGAGAATTCTTTCTGGCATACGGGGCATGGGAATACTTTTCTCTGCGTGCCTTCGTGGTAAAGAAGGCGTGCCTTTGGAAAGAGTATTTGTTTTTGAATGTCTTCTGAATGTTTTCCTTCGCACATTCTGTGCACTGGTAGATACCCTCGCTCACACTGGCGTAGCGGAATAAGTTCAGTCCGCGTACAGACATTTCCGTTTAACTGTTCCGCGGGGTCATTCGACGCGCTGTTGGCACGTCTCCGGGCCCTGCGCCGAGAGTTCTTAGGTGCATTTTGAGCCGTTTGAGGCGTCGTGACCGTTCCGGCCGCGGCATTCGTAATGTTATTGTTATTACTGCTATTATTATTGTTTAACGAATCCGTCTGATTGTTTCCGCGCGGTGATTGATTGAGTAAATGTTAGCGCGTTACTGTTAGACGTTGTCGCTGTCTGCGTCAGAGGATTTACGCGATTTTCGCTCAGAGACGAGTGGACGAGCTTCGAGTGGTTCCAACTTGGGTATCAATAAATCAGCCGATTGTGTTTCTGTAAAATATATAAATTATAATCAGTATTTATTTATATATAAACATATATAAACTAAAACATATAAACCATAATAGAAAACAAATAGATAAACATAAATAACAATATATGAACATATAGATTGATAGATAAACGATATTATCCGGAACAGTAACGTGACGACCATTTTCGTCAGTTCAAGCTTTTTAAAGAATTAAATATTTTGCAAAATTCTGTATTTTTATAAAAAGAAAATTGTGTACTAAGTTGCTAAGGCCAGCCATAAAGAATTCATCTTAATAAAATTGAGAAATACTACAAGATTTTTTTTGATTTGTAAAATTTACTTTAACATCGTGTCGTATGACCGAAAACGACATCGAGTGATATAAATAACATCAACATCGCAAAATATAATAAGATCTCATTATGTAAAATAATTGTTTACATAAATAAGCATCAAGCAATTGAATATTCATAATAGCACGAATAAAATACACATTTAGATACAAAAAGAAAAACATTACAAAATAAAAGTTTTTTATTTATTTTAAATTTTTTATCATAAATATTTTTGAAATAAAATTTAAAATAAAATTACAACACCAAAGTACTACATAAATAAAAATAAAACTACACTAGTAGTTTTAAATATTTTTAATAAAATAAAAACTATTCAAACGCTTTGCGTGATATATGCATTCACAATATCTAAACCTAACAGTAGTTGAAATAAAATAAAATATCTATATTTTATTTCTAATTCACAACTCAATGGCAAATTTGATGAAATTACCTTTGCACATCATCATCCAAATGGGTTGCTTGTAAATTTAAAAATATTTACACATATAAACAATTTTAGAATAAATATTAACTTTAATTAACTAGATTGTTAACAAAAATAAATATTACGCAATATAAGTTTTGTTAATAGATATTATTGCAACATTTTATCATAAGTTCAACATATTTAAGTGGAATAAGTCTATTTCAAGTTGACCATTTGTGCAACAGTTATCGGAAAATTATTAAAAAAACTACATTCAATAATAATGGTTTAGATTTCATATTAAACAAATGTAAAAAAATGGTGAAAAAGGGGCTAGAAAAATATGCAGACAAAAAATTGACATCAATCTGCAGAAGTACTTAGCAAAAGCCAATTCATATCGATAAGAACCCTTTTTACTTAATATACCATAAAAACATTAGATTTTATTTTAATTTTTAGTAACAGATTCTTATTAATTGTATACAATAAATACATTGTTTTAAATTTAAATAATATTTTTGATAACAAATCTAGCCAGACTGACATTATAAATTTATTAAATATAAATACTCTTTAGGTCGATTTACTATTATTAGTGATAACGATTATTCTTGATAATATTTAACCAGACGTTTTTTCCTTAATCATAGAATTAATTATTAATAATAAATTGAGATATTTTATTTTAATAAATATGCTGCCAAATGGTCACATGTATCACAAGATGAATTAACTATATTTAGGTATAGGTAGCAAGTACATATATAGCTCACAGTATTCGTAAGTAAATAAATATAAATAATAAATTAATATGCATTCGTATTACATTCTTTGTATGTATAGAAACATATACAACTACATGTGACTGACGCGCAACATCTTACAATTTTCTATTAACATTTCAAAAAGTTGTTAAATGATGCAGACTATCATCGGCATAATAATGTAAAAAGGATGATGAAATTCTATCAAAATATATATTTTGATTGATTTATATTATTAAGTAAGAAGTCCAGTCTAAATATAATAGATGCTCAACTAAAAATGTAAACTAAATTTAAATAATATAATTAGTTTATTAGTAGTATATTTAATATTATTGGCATTAAAAAAAGTATTTAGGATTCAACATTATATTGATTTTCCTATATTTTTCCTGAATGGAAATTTCTTCGAAAGTAAATTTTTAATGTGGTGTTGTAACTAAAATAACATCGTTATAAGCAATGATAATACAATGACGTCGTACAATTCCAGCTTAATATTCAAAACTATAAAATGATAGTTCAAGGTTTACAAAACTTTAATGTTAAAGAAAGCAGCAACCGTTTTTCTTTCATTTTTCAGTAAATATTGAGACATCTGAGGCACTATTTATATCATGAATGTAATATAAATCAATCAAAATGGTATCGTCTATGTCTCTTATATATATTCTATTTAAGCACAGGTACTAAGAAATTACTTCACCATTTGCTATGATAAAAACAATAATGCTATTAAAATCGTATCGAAAAATCAGATAGTTTGACTATTTAATTTTTAGATAAAAAATTAAAATATCCAATATTATTAAAACAAATTTCGATCTATTAGAAATAATATTTCACAACAGATAATACATATTAATTTAATGTCAAACAACCAATGCAAATTCTATTGTAATAATTCACGAAATAAATGTACGATCTCAATAACAAATTTGATTTGTTTCAATAGCATTTATTTTAATAAAAAGACATGTATGTATAATATATATATATATATATATATATATATATATATAACTTATATACAAATATACGCCTTTTTATAAGTAGCTTATAGCTATGAATATTTTAACATAGTTAAAACATTCTTCGAATGTATCAATGTTTTAATTGTTCTAATAAATATTGAAAAAATTATTAGCAGTTTAATATTTAATATATATTATATAATTTTTTCTAAGATTTACCTATAGTTATCTATATTATATTAAGATAAGGCCATAATACCACTTATATAGAAAACTTTCTTTTAATTCAAAAATATATATTAAACTATTATGCACATATTAAAACATAGCTTTACTGACACAGCGTTCAAAGAAAAAATAACAATTTTAAGCCAGCTTGGCAAGATAGTATGATTTAAGGCCTTGCACATATGTTTAACATTTAAAATCTAATTTTTATAAGAATTCTGTAGAATATAAATAATATAAAAATAACAATTGATTGGTATATAACATATATTACATATATGCTTATAATTAACAACAATCTATTGATTAATCTTCAAAAAACTCATAAAAATTATTGTGTAGGCTGATGAATTAAGGCAGCTGGATCAAATACAACAATTCATATTGAAATGTTTCATCTTATGTCAAGGAGGTTGTATTTGAATAATTTAGTTAGGATATTGTCAAAACTTCATAGACTCACTTTTCATTAGAAGGCTGCATAAAATACACAATATAACATATAAAATTGAACAAGAGAACAAAGTACAACAGAAAAACAAATATTCAAAGTAGATTACTCATTTGAAGTAAATTCCTGAGTCAAAATCTTAATCAAGTAGCCATTAAATTGAATTTTATTGAAACAATTTGAAAGATATTTAATATTTAACTTTCATAAAGTGGAGTAATCCATTTCAACAATAACACGAACTTATAGTTCCTAATAATCATATATATGTTTATATATGGTAAATACTATTGCATATGCAAAAGGCACTTTAATAATTTCATACAAGATTAATCAATATATTAAATAAATAAATAATTTCACATTAACCATGTATAGGTCTTCATAATATTTCATCTAACATCTCAAATTCAAGATATTTGTGGTCTCTCTATACATGTTCCATGTAAAACTAAATCTTTTTTAATTGCTTCAACTCCGTCGACATGCTTATGTATTATTTTCATGTGAGCAACCATATTATCCTTTCTAGTAAATTCTTTCATGCAAATAGGACATGGATACACTTTAACATTACGTTTATGAGAGGTAACATAATGCCTGCAAAAGTTGCTAATATGTGTATAAACTCGACTGCAGACCTTACATCGGAATACATTATCTCCTTCCTTAAGGCAAAAGTCTCTTACAGAGCCTTCATTATTTTCAGTCACATTATTATTGTACTTAAAGTTATAAAATAAATTATCTTGTTGCGTTTGTTCTTCAACCTCTTCAGTAGCATCACAATTGTTTTGATTATTATCGCTGCTATTGTTGATTTTTGAGTTTGATTTCTGAATTTTCAACACTGTCATTGTTTCTTTCTTTTTATTAAGGTCTGCATCTAAGGGTGTAAATTTATATTCAATTATGTCATCACATTCTTCACCGCTAGCTGAATATGATTTGTTTGATTTATCAGAGAGTACACTCATTTCTGGCTGATATGGAGTTTCAAATTTGAAATGTCTTATACCATTTTCCACATCTGTAATATATCATATGTATTTAGTAAAAATATACAATTCAAAATATTGGCAATGACTTAGCTAACATTTTGAATTATGCTTTTAAAATCAATTGCATCAAAGTTAACTAAGTCATTACCAATAATTTGATAAGGGAAAAGCTGAAGGGGTTTAAGCCGAATTACCAATTTATCAAAATTAAGAATCATTTTGCATCATATATAGTCAGAAAAGTTCTAAATTCAATCAAATATTATGGCTCAATCCCTATTCGCTCTTCCCTTTTCTATTTCAAATATCTCATTTAAAAACTCACCTCATATTTATTACTAGGGATGTCTTGAAAACACAGAATAAAAATGAAATCTAACACTACACTACAACACTGATTTTAAAATTGATAACACTTTAATAAAACAATCCCTTATTAGCTTTTCCCTTATTAAATAATATTAAATTTTTCTTAAACAATACATGTTTATATATATTGCATAATATATATATATATATATATATATATATATATATATATATATTCCTGATAATTTCATATAAAATATGAGTGTATACTCATATACAAAATAATTTTTAAAAATTACATGATATCGATACACTTTTGAAGTAATAATATAAATGAACTGTGATTGGAAGTATGGCTCACTTGTCTATGCAAATATAAATAATTAATAAATTATATTACAACTCATTTAATTAAAACTTCTATTTGATTTGAATTCATATGTATATATCGTAATATTCTTTATAATACATTAAATATAATACTATGTTATTTAAATATTGTTGAGTGATATGCAAATAAATTAAAAAATAAACTTCACTATTTTGAACAAAAGTATATAGTTATTGTGATCCCTATATAAGCAAAAATTTGATTAAGTTTATCATGAATATTATTTTATCATGGATAAATACAAGCATTAAAAGAATTTTGCTTCTAATATTTTCTAAATACTTCAATAATTTCGAAGTTTTAAAAATTGTTTATCACTTGCGAAATATTTATAGAATAATTATATTTTTACTACTTGAATTTAAAAAAAAAAATATTCTTTTGTTATATTAGTATTGCTTAATGCAATACTTGAATAAGCAAAAAATAAAAGAACTCACCATTGCTATCTTCTTTTCCTTTTTTCGGGGTATTTTCCTTTGATGTGCCAGCCATAGGTTCTGTATTTTCACTAACTTCTTTATCCGTCATTTCCTCATCATCCATTCGCATTGAGTTTTCATCATTTGAAGCTTCGTTACCAGATCCACCACTTGTTTGGAAATTATCCATACCTACAATAATACAAAATTTAATCTTATTGACCATAAAAATTAAAATGTGAATACATATTATAAAGACATATTTTTCTCACTTTAACAATGAGAAAACTCTAATTCAAAAGTTCCCTGAAATAGTGCAACCGATCAAACAGGGAAGTATAATACATGTATAATACAAAGTAAATGGATTGAAAATAAAGGTTTAGGAACCAACTATTTAGAAAAATATAAGCATAACAATAAAAAAAATTATCTGTTTTTATAATAAATTCTCTCATATTAACTTTATAAAATTATCAAATACAAAATTATTAAAGACATACTCATTCGTAATAAGAGACCTTTGAAATTTACTGTACTTTGTTCCATTGCACAAAAAATAGAAGTTCAATAATATTAATATTCATGGTTATTCAATAAAAAAATGTTATTAATTATTAATCGAATTGCATTTAACTTACCTAATAATTATCAAATTACAAGTTTATCTTTATATAATTCTAGAAAAAATAATTTAATTCTGCTTACCCATTTTAACTTCCAACATTTCTGGTGATCCCTGTATCAATCTATCTCCAAGACCTCCTAATCTATCGTAATCATCTTGATTATTAGTGACACCGGGAATTCCGTTAGAACTTCCAGATAATTTCCTTGGTCGACCTCGCTTTCTTTTCGGTTGCATCAATGCATTTCCCAACAATGGATTCATTAGAATATTATGCGCTGCATTATGTTGCTTTGGCCTTTGTGCTAAATAAGGGTGTATCCTATGCAACTGCGGGGGAGTGGTCATAGTTTGCTGCTGGAGTAGGCTATTAGTTATGGCTGGAATATCACATTTTTCCTCATTGACCTCTGTCAAACCTTTAATTCTTAAGCTCTCAGCAACTCTCAGAAATGCTGTTAATCTATCTTGATCTACAGATACTTCACCACGGTACATAAAATCTAACAAACATTTCATATCTGCATAGGGCACATCTTTCAATATCACAATTGGATGCTTTTCAGGATGGTTTAGAAATAGTGCTTGAAAATAAGGACTACAAGCAGATAATACCATTTTATGAGCTTTCAATAGCTGCCCTTCTACTGCTAAAGTTACATCGGTAAAGGTCTCTGCGTGAAGTAGCTGATCGAATACTGATAGTAAATTCGATTGATGATTGTTCCATCGTAAACAAAATCTTTGGGATGACATTTTTACTGGTTTACTACTGATGTAAGATGATTGTTTTAAGTCATATAACATTTATGTAGTGGTGTTTGATAATGTAGAACTAGATTTCAATTACGCCCTGTAAATAATGAAAAATATTAATTCGTTTTGCAAACAGTAATTGTAGATTTATGTAAACTTATTCAAAAAAATATGTCTTGAAATTTTATTGCATTTATTTCATTTCTGGTATATCATTCAAAGCAATCACGCGTTTTGAAATTATTAAGTTACAGATCCCCGAACAAATTAATGAGTGCTATTTTGTATACACTGCGTACAAAAAATTAACACCCAAAATTGAGGTTAAATCATCATTTTATTAAATTTTATCCTGATATTTGTAATAAAAAATCTGATGATTTTCCAATATACATTGTACAATCTAATAAGATTCCAACATATGATGATCTTATAAGAAATGCGCCATTCAGGATACAATTGAGATTCTTATTGGAATCTTACAGGTGCCAAGTACCTGCGCACTAATCGATATTTGTACTCACGTATTATTACATCATTTGAAAATTACACTAAATGATTCAAAATTATTAAAGTAAATAAATATAATAATTATTAATACGTATGTTAACAGAACTTTCAAACAACCCTTTAAAAACTACTAGACACAGCCCTTGCGTCGCCATTTTGTAATTTGCCTTATCGTCACCCCGCCTACCCAGAATGACTAACAAATCCGCAAAACTAGATTTACGCAACCCTATTTTTACAACAGAGCGAACTATGATTTAGCACAAACACGCCTTTTATTAAATGCGTATATTAAAATATCACTAAATATAGAACCCGACAACATTTTAAATGTTTGTAAACAAATAATTTAGGTGAACAGAAAATTTAGAAATAGTTTAAATTTTAATTGGTGACCCTGGATGAATACTTTGAAATTTCTAACCAAAAACTTCATGACACTTTACGAATACACCCAAATATGTTTTCACAAAAGCACTGTTAACAAAAAATAAATATTTTTGATTACCTAAAACATTTTATACTAAATATTTAAAGAAATCTACAAATTTCCACACAACACTTTTAGGACGCCATGTCAGCAATATTTTTCTTGTTGGATTCTCTTCACCACACACTACACTACATCGGGGTTAATCGCCCTTTACTAGCGGAATGATACGAATAGAATGAAAGTATCCCCACGAGAATAAACGGAAACGGTCGAACGTTTACGATCGCCAAGTTGTGAAGATATCGAAGTGAAATAAAGGAGCTGCGTCGGCTCGTTTGAAAGATTCTTAAAAATGTTTCACGAAAATAATAATAATAAAATAATGATAAAAATAATAAAATTTGTAATAATATTATGTTAGCTACTCACCTCTGTAGTAAAAATGATAAATCCGATCAACACATCACTTCGTAGTTAAATTTAGAACAACTCGGACGATCCATGATGGTGAACTTTTTTTAAAAATCATAACACAAAAACTGATACGAAATGTCATGTAAATAATCACTAATAAATAATAAAATCACTTCACAATCTCACTGTTAGTTTAAACAAAACAATTTTTAATCCTTGTACAAATGGAATTCTCGTTGATTTTTGTGTACGTATACGTATGCAGGCAGTGGATGAGCACCAGTCTATTACGGTGTGACGTACGACGCGAGCGGGCTCCAAATGAGAACTCACACTCAAAGCGACCGGGGCAGAGCGACCGGGGCCCGGGGTTCTTACTAACCCTACTTTTTAGTTGAGCGCACCAACACATACGTTCTCAAAATATTATTACACCCAGTTTCCAATGGGAGGAACGGAGTGGAACGGACGTCTAACTTTGCCGGTCGTTCGCCGCTTTAATAAAAGGGACTTTGATGTAACATCCAATGGCCGCATTGTAAGCCAACCCTTCCTTTTTACAATACTGAATTAATTCGATTTGTAAATTGATGTTACTATTCGATTCATACAATGAACTACTGCTAGTATATTGTGGTCATAGTAAAGAATAGTTATGCTATATTATAAATACGAATATTTATTTCACCGACAACAACGTTCAAATAGGTTAACAGCGGTCATTGCCACGGTTGCGTAATGACGATTCGACAAGATTTTTGGGAATACGTTTCATTAAATTGTCTACGAATTAAAAAGTAAAGGAAGAGCTGAAGAGCTCTACAATAAATCAATTAATTCATTTGTCGCATAAAAATACGGCGATCAATTGTAAAAAGACCATATTTTCTTTAAATCAAAACCGGGACGGCAATTTTTAGTGATATAATAAAAAAACAGCTTTTTATATGAATTAATTTTTTTTAATCAGAATTGCTAACTTTTTTACTCGATTATATGTAATACTTTTTTACCTATGATATTATGTCCTATATTTTGCGCTTTTGAGCCTTATATAAAATTCTATTCAATTATCTTCGCAAATTAATTTAAAAAAAGCAGCACTTGTTCGTTTGTTTTCATAATTTTTGTCAAATCACCTATTAATTTTCAAAAAACCGGTGCAAAAGATCTAAATCCGGGCCAAATATTGCTATTAGAAAACCTATTATATGAATTTAGATGAATTTATAGAAAACTTTTTATATGAATTATTTTTGTTAATCAGAATTGCAAACTTTATTACTCTATTAAATGTAATACTTTTTTATCTATGATATTATATCTTATATTCTTCCACTCATATGCTTTTTCGCTTTTGAGCCTTGTATAAAATTCTATTCAATTATCTTTGCAAATTAATTTTAAAAAAATAGTATTTGTTCGTTTGTTTTCATAATTTTTGTCAATTTACCTATTAATTTTCAAAAAATCGAGACAAAAAATTTAAATCCGGGCCAAATATTGCTATTAGAAAACCTATTATATGAATTTAGATGAATTTATAGAAAACTTTTTATATGAATTATTTTTGTTAATCAGAATTGCAAACTTTATTACTCTATTAAATGTAATACTTTTTTATCTATGATATTATATCTTATATTCTTCCACTCATATGCTTTTTCGCTTTTGAGCCTTGTATAAAATTCTATTCAATTATCTTTGCAAATTAATTTTAAAAAAATAGTATTTGTTCGTTTGTTTTCATAATTTTTGTCAATTTACCTATTAATTTTCAAAAAATCGAGACAAAAAATTTAAATCCGGGCCAAATATTGCTATTAGAAAACCTTTTATATGAATTTAGATGAATTTATAGAAAACTTTTTATATGAATTATTTTTGTTAATCAGATTTGCAAATTTTATTACTCGATTAAATGTAATACTTTTTTATCTATGATATTATATCTTATATTCTTCGACTTATATGTTTTTTCGCTTTTGAGCCTTATATAAAATTCTATTCAATTATCTTCGCAAATTAATTTAAAAAAAGCAGCACTTGTTCGTTTGTTTTCATAATTTTTGTCAAATCACCTATTAATTTTCAAAAAACCGGTGCAAAAGATCTAAATCCGGGCCAAATATTGCTATTAGAAAACCTATTATATGAATTTAGAAGAATTTATAGAAAACTTTTTATATGAATTATTTTTGTTAATCAGAATTGCAAACTTTATTACTCTATTAAATGTAATACTTTTTTATCTATGATATTATATCTTATATTCTTCCACTCATATGCTTTTTCGCTTTTGAGCCTTGTATAAAATTCTATTCAATTATCTTCGCAAATTAATTTAAAAAAAGCAGCACTTGTTCGTTTGTTTTCATAATTTTTGTCAAATCACCTATTAATTTTCAAAAAACCGGTGCCAAACATCTAAATCCGGGGCAAATATTGCTATTAGGAAAACCCGGAACACGAGGTAGAAATTCGGAACTGTCCCGGCCAAACCTGGACATATGGTAATTGAGTATTTAATAAAATTAAAACATAGTGTAATTGCATCTGTCAAAATGTGACTAACTAAGATCGCAAATAAAACTAATTTGCAATAAATTGATGAAACCAGTTAAAAATTTCAAATAAAATAAATAAATAGAGAAGAGCGGCAGTCATCCCAGTCATTAGTTATCAAGACCTTTCTCTATACATGTGTCTCACGTATAAGATACAAACTACTACTAAAATACATATTGCAGTACCTACATGTGTATATATTTAAGTTAAATGTATACATACTTCTAATCGTAATCGCATTTGTCTAATATCCGATTGGGTGTGTGCAGGCATGGCCTTGGGATTCGTACTTTGCGCGATCTCATATGTATAGGCCCACACACATTCTGGCGGAAATGTATTGGTGGAATGATGGATCTAGTTGATGCCCATTATACAGATATAGACTGATTGTGAGTGTGTATATTCTTGAGAAAATATGTTTATTTTTCCACCAAATATATGTGTTGAGACTATTTGCCAAATTCGCAGAATTTTACGAACTTGTGGCTATGGTGGTGAATCGACAATTCCAAAATTGAACAGCAGAATCGTTAAACCTTGATATTTTTTCTTGAAAATTTAAAAAATACAATTTGAATTAGGAAAATATTTTATACTTATTGATTGTAAAAATCAGTATCGAATCAATGCAAGAAATATAAAAAAAATAAAGCGAGAAAATAATATAGCTAAATAAGATTTTTTTAACGAAGCTTATCTTACAATTGTTATTGTCATTTTCATCAGAGTATGACATGGAAAAATTTCAAGGAAAGAGAGGTGAAATTCCTAATGTTCAGTAGATTTTGTCCTTAAAATAGTCTAGAACAGTCCTGTTTAAAACCAGTATTGTATACAAAAATTAGAGCATTTTTGCTTTTGTTTACTTGCTGCAATTACCCTCTAACATGTTCATATATTTCTAACAAATGTAAACTCTACCAGCGTCAAACAAATTCTTCTTACCTGCATTTGGAAATATAGAACTAATTAGCTATTTATGTACGTCATTGATTAACTTTATACAAGCATGCATGCATGCACGTTTGTTTGTACGCATTATGGCGCATGCAAAAAGCACTGCAATAATAATAAATTCAGAACGTAGTTGTTTTACATTTGCATGTGTGTTTCTATAATATAAATTGTAGCAATGGATGTGTAAGTACATCTCTATACATTCGGAATCGAATTTAGTAATATTTTATATATTGGCAACGGAAAGGATGAATTTTCTTTAAGCGAGGATAATAAACAATTCTAGAGCATATTAACCTTATTTGTTTTTAATATTGTCCGATGTATAATAACATATTACAACAATTAATCTTTGACGAATCAACTGCTACTAATCTTTATTCATGATTTTTGCACTCTACGTTTAAATCATAATCGGTTATGCTGAGATGAGACGAATTTCAAGTATTCATTACAAGCCAATATCAGATTTGAAATCACTTGAATAGATTGTAAAAATACTACTAAATTAACTAAAAATAATTAATAATAAATATAAATAAATTAATCAATGAATAGAGAAGTGATATACAAAATATATTATAAAATGTTGTTGAATATATATTTTTATTGATTTTTTTAAACATCCTGAATATCTGTATATGTGAGTTTATTTTTGATCTTTCGTTGACATTTTCTCAAAACGACTAGATTTCAAGTCGTTTCTATATAGCTCGATATAAAGGACTAATCTTTGGCCGTTTTGTGCGACGATCGACCAAGCCGTTTCTTTATAATTAGCAGAAAAGTGAAATTTCTTTTCACCACGATTTCCTCCACAATCTTGCATTGATTTTAAAAATACAAAAACTGTTTGAAAAATATTAGTAGTGAATCGCATTGATTAGTTATTGGTAAAGACCGGCCGGGACGTTTCTTCGTAATTTAATGTTATAATGCTTTGACGATTTTCATGAAACTTTGTATAACGATAGATTTTGCAGTCTAAAACAAGATACTAAAATATTATAGACCTGCCATAAGCGGTTGAACTATAAAAATTCATCAAAGTTTAGAACTTCGTCACACTTCTGCATAGATTCTAATCAGGGTCTATGACAAAGCATGCGAATATTCCGTATTTCTAGTGATTATAGTTGATGTACACACTTTAATAAAAATGCATTCTTAGAACTCAAAACTGATGAAATAAATTGTGTTGTCAAATGAATCTAATCTATACAATTACAGATATTATAAATGTGCTTGAAAGACATCAATTTGAAATTTGATTTGGCGTTGATCAGTGA